TCTGATTGCTTGTTCTACCTCCTATATATCTTTCATCACATCTACTGAAACACCAGCTAGCTGAGTGGTTATCCAGTCCACAAATTTGATAGGGTCCTCGATTTTCACTTGTCCTACCTACTATTTCTCTGTCTCTTCTTCTTCCTCTGAAGTTTGTGGACCTTCCACTATTACTAGCTCTAAAGTTTCTACCACCACCTGATCTAGACCTTTGAGCTAAGTGCACACTTGGCTGACTAATATTCAACGATGCTAAGTCATTTTTTACTTGATTAAGATGTTCAAGCCTGCTCTCAAAGGTCATAAGAACTGATGATAGCTCATACCATGAAATATCATCCCTGCTATTAATCTACACCACAATGGGTGTGTATTCTTCATCCAGTCCTGCAACAACTTGGGTTACAAGGTCACTATGATCGACCATTTTTCCAACTATTTGCAGGTTGTCAGTCAGTTGCTTGACTATGGTAAAGTATTGATCCGTAGTCATAGAACCTTTGCTAATTCTCTGCAACTCCCCAATAAGGAATGCCACTCTTGATCTGTTCAATATTCCATAACTTTCTTTGATTGCATTCCAAAAACTGTTTGAGTTAGTGCATCCCATGACCTTCATTGCAATTCCAGAGGTCATGGATGAATACAACCATCCCATTAACAACTAATTGATTGACATTCATCTACTGTACTTTGGATTCTGGGTCACTTTTATGGCTTCTCCTGTTTCAGTAGTGGTCTGAGTACTAAGGGACTCCAGTGGACATTGTTTTGTTCTCAGCAAGTAGCTTTCAAGATTGTGGCCTTTGATTATAGGCATAACCATGGTTTGCCATAGCATGAAGTTGTTTTTGTCAAGCTTTACTGATGAAGTTTGAGTAAGATTCATCCCAAAGGATGATGACTGATACACGGCAACATCTATGGATTGTGCAGGACTTAACTTAGTTGAAGAAGCTTGAGCGCTGGAATCAGTGTTAGCCATTTTGGCTCTAATACCAAGTAAAAGCTGTAGTGAGTTCAATAAAATTTTCAGCTCAAATGATCTTTTCCTACACCCTCCTTATATAAACGATCACAAGAGGGAAATATTACATACAAAAGGGATATCCTATTATCACCTATACAATGATGCAAGTGTCCAATAGAATTATTCTTCCACTCTTAAGATCAGGGAAATACACAGCACTTCAGGGAATGTTGTTATAAAGGTTGAGCATCTAGCCAATATGGATGATTCCTCTCAATTAGTTGACTGATTCTAACAATAAACAAGATATAATCCCCAAATTATAAGGAATCGTGAAAATGGAAAATCAAATACTAAAAATATATTTAAATTGTTTTTATAGTAAATATTAGGTTTGTGAATAAAAAAAGGTATTAGCCGATTTTTATAAAGAAAACTAAGCCCCTATTTTGGTTCCATTTTAATGTGATTTTGGGAGAAAATGCATTTTGAAATAGTGATTTTTTTAAAGAATGTATTGTTAAAAGATGAGGAAAAAAGTTTTGAATTTACATGTAATATTAATTTATTGAAGAATGTGTGATTGAAAATAAGAAATAGAAAATTGTGTCTTTTGAATAATGAAGCCCAAACAGGGGCTTAATATTATGATTCCGAATTTTCTCTAAATTTCTATTTTAGTTTTTTCCTCATAAGTTTGGATTTAGGGATAATAATTGGGTGGTATGAGTTGTCACCTTACCTCATTCCCATACCTCATCCTCATCCCTTGCCTTGTTTATTTTTATTTATTTTTGTTTTTACTTTTATTTTTTACGTCTTCATTTAGTAAATATTATTTTTTTTTTCAATTTGTTAAGAACAATTCACTCTCTTTTTAAAAACAATGATAATTCTTTTATTTTTATTTGATAAATTTTTTTAAATTGAAAACGGAACGAGTAGCAAGGTGGGGACTATATTTTTCGTACTCACTCCACACTCGCTTTGAGGCAACGACTCTCACCCTGTGGCCCCCATCCTCACCCCATTTACCCAATTAATTGAGTAATTCTCGTCCCATTCAGGACAGGACCCGTGGGTATCAAATTGATAAAAGCACTTCGACAATAATTGATAGACTTGCAAGGATGGATATAATTGCTAAACGGTAACAAAACAAATGTCTCATAATTTAGTAGAGATTTCTCTTACTAGAATAACTAAGTATTAGTTAGGATTTCTATGTCAGTATTTACTATTTACTGCCATGTTAATCAAAATTTTGGCCTTTTCCATGATCGTATTTTTGCAAAGGCAGTAGTGTATAGACAAATGTTAATGATTTTTCATCCAAAATAATTTCTTGATTTAAAGTAATTAATCTTGAATGTTTTATCGACACGGTACCATTGCTTAATCTCGTCAAGATGTTACAAAACGCAGTTATATTTGCACATTTAGAATTACATCAAGTCGTTTTAAAAGGCATTATTTGTTGGTGATTAGCATAATGCAGAAAAGAAATGTTTAAAACATATTTCCTAAGGAGGGATAAAATTTGGCCTCTCCTTCCATTAATTTCCGAATCCCAATTCATAAATTTTTTGATGCCATGCGTAGTAGAATCATTCCCTTCCAAGTTTGTATATTTAGACAAATTCTACATATAATTAGACTTTGTTTGATTTCCATTTTTTTCAAAATATATTTTTCTCTCTCTTCTTTTCAACTAGTCATTCTTCATTAAAATAATATTACACGTAAATAAATTTTTTTTACTTATTTTTCAACCACACATTTCCGTCAATCTACTATTCAACAATGATGGTCAAACACCATCTTAGTATTTTTATGCTTGGCAAAATTGTTACGTATTTTGATTAAAAATAGAAATTAACAATTGTAAATTAATTTAGATAGCCAAAAATGTGTTTCAAATTTTATTTTTATATTTTTGAATTCTTCAACTGTTTCTCTTTATATATAATAACTTTTCAATTTTGTTGAAAAAAAGATATCACGATCAGGGGCGGACCCACATGGGGTCATGTGGGGTCAAATGACCCCACAGTTTTTTTTTTCTGCTGCTGAAACGGTTATTTGGGTTTGGGGTTCCAAATTCCAATTAATTATCCACTCCAATCCATTAATCCTATGAATTTATTTTCGTTAATGATACGTTGTTCGAAAAAAATTTCATTTTTGACCCCACAGTCCGAAGTCTCTAGGTCCGCCCCTGATCACGATCCCATGCATATATTATTTTATAATTAAAATAAATACAAATTGATCTCATGGTGCAGTGTATCTAGACACTCTATATATATATATATATATATATATATATATAAGCAGTTTATTTATTTTTAAATTTAGATAGATAGTTCAAGAATGAGTTTCAATTATTTCTCTTCAAATACCGTAAATTTCAATTATCTTAAAAAATAGTTCTTCGAAATCTCGTGCTTCATAGTTCAAAAGCATACCATATTTATTTTTCCTAATTAATAAAATTAAAATTGGATCTCACGATACATTGTACCTAGACATATTCCAAAGAATAACAAAACAGGCCAATATTTTCTACTTCATTCACAGTCTGTTTGTACATTTTCTTGTAATTTGGTGCATTCAATCTAGTCATTGTATAGACTCCACCCATTAAAGAAAAATTTATAACTAAAAAAAGATGTTTGATGTTCATAAAAATTGTTAGATGTTTATCAACAAACAAACAAAAAACGCGATTACTCATAATTACTAGTAATTAATGACAAGTGAGGGCACATTATAGTGATAGTAACTCGTGGTTTGGTAAATCGTTAGAATTGCAATAAATCTTTTCTAATCTTGAAAATAATATCCCGTAAATTAAAAAAAAAAATTTCCTCTAACTAAGAAAATAATTTAAATTAATCAATTCTTTTAGGAGGTATAACAAATGGAAAATACGGGCAAAAACCGGTGGTACGATATGTAAGTTTCATTAAAAAGCTAGTATCCTGTCGTCATGTAAGAATACAAATGTTGAAGGAATGTGCTCATATGTGGACATCAATGGACGGTTAAGATAAAGTTTTTCCTTCTCTAGAATTCCACCATGTCGAACATTTTGTCCCTGCTTCTTTTAGCTAAAAAAAATTTAAAATTTTAAGTTAAATTTAATAATTAGTTTTAAGTATAAGTTTTATAGAACCCACAATTTTTTTTTATCAAATTTTCAACAACACACAATTCATTAACTTTTATTAAAATTGCCTAAAAATTGGGTTTTTAGCAAAATCAAATAGGGCTTTACTTTATTTCAATCCTACTTGCTATGGCTACTATTGAACCACATGCTCATGTTTGTCTAAAATAAGTAAAAAAGAAAGTTTTAGAATAAAAAAATTATTGCTGAATTAGAAAATGGTTTTTTTTTCACTTTAAGTAAAAAAAAAAAAATTTAATTTAAATTTTTCATGAAGAGTACGATTAAAGTGAATTATAGAAATTTGTTTGGACACAAAAAGTCATTTAAACTTAGCTGTAGATTTAGAAGTTAAATTAGTTAGAGCACTCTTTAGAACACTATTTTTGTATTTCTTAAAAATTTAAATAAATAGTGAAACGATAAATTCATACATTTTCATCTACAAGATAATTGATGCTAAGATTTGTTGGTAGGGTGTCACTAATCTTTTTCCCAATATGAAGTCGTTTCTAAATGCTTAAATTGCAATCATGTCAATGAATTTATCAACATATTAATCATGAATAATCTCTCAATTATTTTAGGATATACCTACCTAAACAAATAATAAGTTAAAACTTAATCTTATTAAATTTAAAATTAATTATTTACTTTAGTTCTTATGCCACTTGGTTTAATTTATGCCAATTTTTCAAATTGAATTTAACCTTTTACCTTGCAAGAAATTACAACCACTCTATTATTGTACGTTGTGAAAAAGAATAGAAACAAGATGCACAAGAATATGCTGTGCTTCAATTTATTTTAATTTTTACATTCTTTTCTATTGGACAGATTTACTTCATCCCGTGCATATGTTGAACCAGATTATTAGGTTGAAGGTCGAATATTTCTCTCTATATAGACAAGAATATATACATATACAGACAATACACATTATAAAATGTCATGTCCCTCACAATTTTCCGCATCCAAATGAGAATATACTTATAAAAGTTTTTGCCAACCTCATCTTTATGAACTCTTATAAGTAATACTTAACAAAATCCAGTAGCAAGAGAGAAATTAAAATGAAGCAATTAAAACTTTCTTACTGTCCGAAAGAGGGAAAATCTTGCATCGGATGGATCGAAAAATACTTCAAGGATTGCCTGTGCAACCTCAACGATGAAATATCGTTTGGTTTCGGAATTGCAAGTTTAATTTGTTGGGCAGTTGCAGAAATCCCACAAATTATTACCAACTTCAATAACAAATCTGCCGATGGTGTCTCCTTGGCATTTCTTTGCACTTGGATTGTTGGGTAAGTTTATTTTTGTTTGTTCATAAACATGCATTGCCATTATTTTTTGACAGACAACCTTAATTATTTTTGTTTTGCAACTAAACAAACATGATTTGAAAACCTATAGATACAAACTGATTATGACTTGATTTTTATCTCATGCAGTGATGTGTTCAATCTTGTAGGCTGCATTCTCGAACCTGCTACAGTAAAAATTCCCTCCCTCCCTCCCTCTCTCTCTATCTCTCTCTCTCTCTATTATTTGAGTTTTGCTACTGGGTGATAGAATGCTCAAGTGGCATTCTGTGATTGGTTGATGGAGATTGGTTGGTTAAAGTAGAATAAATCGTGTTATTTTCTTCTTCACTTTTTTTTTTTTGGGTGAAAAAATGAGAGTTTACTATTTACATATTAGTGTTCGATCTACTAGAATAGGCAAACTCTAGACTTCCTGTAATCTCAAAAGAATAGCTTCATGTAGAATATATCGGGGTTAACAGAGCTCATTACATGAGCAAGGTTAATACGATTGACATATTTTAAAATTCGTGTGCTCATTTGAATCCTATTCTGATCAAATTATTTGTTTAAGTTTAATGAGTTCTGCTATTATGTTAAGACTTCTATCTTAAAAGACCAATCTTATTAATTAGACTAGTAGCTCAAGTCCTTATATGTTGATCTATATTTCGATAATTAGCCAATACGAGATTTAGGTAAAGTGGTTGAATGAAACATTTTGTAAAGTTCAATGATTTGTTTGAAACAAATGTAATAGCCTCTTGAACATTTGTACATATCTTAAGCTTATGTTTCTAATAGATAGTTTCTGTTGATTTGATGCAGTTACCCACCCAGTTGTACACTGCATGGGTAAGTCTAACCCAAACTATTTTACAAATGACTTTGCATCAAATGTTCAGTATCTGTGTTACATTGCAGCTCTATACAACGGTCACAATCATATTGGCACTCCAATCCATTTACTACAACCATTTTCTTCGGTGCTTGAAAAGGGGACGTAAAACTGTAGCAAAAGTAGTACGAATTTTTTTCCAAGATTTATACATAATAATCCTTCTAATTATACAAATTTTGTTCGTCAAATGATCTGCAGACTTCCATGATTTCTGGTTTTTTTTTCAAGGATGAAGATGAGACTGATGCTCCAAAATCCAAGTTCCAAGGAAGATTAACATCATCAAATGTACCTGTCGAGGTACCACATAGGAGGGACTTCTACTATATGTAAGGAATATACGCATCCATATACAAGTCAATTAAGTAAGTTAAACCAGGATGGTTAGCAAGATTATTTGTGCAGGTCAGCAAGATCTTTGGCTGGAAGTGATAGTTCACCAATGAATCAGTGTTATATAAAGGCGAGGAGCGGTCCTCCTGCTTTGGAACATGATTCAGACTCCTCATCTGAAGATGAATCATTTCTTCCTTCCTCCAACGAGCCTGTTATTGTTACTCAGCCTCGTAATATTCCTCGTCCAGTAAGTATATTACTATCCAACAGTGCTACAAAGTTTGTTTTCTGCCTTAATTTAACAGAATTAATCTATCTTCATACCTTGATTTTGATAAATTTGGAGTGAGTGGTATAAATTTCTTATCAATAAACTTGAATTCAATTAATTGTGTGAATTTTCGGAAAAATATCAGGTGGGATATGGAACATTTGCAGCTGCTTCTGTAAATCTACCCTTCTTAACCAGAGCTTTAACAGATACTGGTGGAAGGAGATCTATGATGGTTTTCTACTACAATATTCTATTCTTTATCAAATTAGAAAGTCTTTGTATACATTGAAAGAGCTTCGTTTAAGCCAGAATTTATCCACAGGAACAGGCATTCCAAGAAAATGCATACGGACAGTGTTTGGGTTGGTTGATGGCTGCAATATATATGGGTGGACGAATCCCACAAATTTGGTTGAGTGTGAGTTTTCTATGGTCCACATTGGTTAGAAATTCATGCATTTGTTTTGATTTTTTATATAGGGTTTTAATATAAAATTGTTGCCTTGAATGATTATGACCAGATCAAAAGAGGGAGTGTGGAGGTATTGATTTCTCTTTTATTTTTATCTATAATCATGTGAAAAGGAACATTGTGGACATGTTTTTTATCAAGTACTAAATAAGAATAAGTCCTTGTTTGGTGGGATTAAAATCAGATTTTTAGTAGATTTTGATAGAAGTTGATGAAATAAATGATTAAAAAGTTATAAAACCCACAAAATATGTAGTTAAAATGAATGATTGACTTTAACTTAAATTAAAAATCTTGATTTTAATCGAAACCAAACAGGGACTAAACAAGCTTAAAGAATAAAAAGAATGTCCAATCGTGTTCAGTTAATTTCCATACTGCATAACGAACCAACAATTTCACGCTTAAATATGCCCGCGTTAGGATAATTTTCATTGCTTTTGCTTTACTTCACAGGGCTTGAACCCTCTAATGTTCGTTTTCGCACTCATTGCCAATGCAACATATGTTGGAAGGTTTTTCCTCTCTCTCTCTCTCTCTTTCTTTGACCATTATTTTACTATTACAACTGTTATTTTAACTTTTTCACTCACATTTGGGATCCACTTTTCTCTCTAACGATCAAAAAATTAATTCTCATAATTACTACCGAACAGATCCTAAGTATGTTTTAAATTAAGTGTTGAATATTTGAATAAATTTTGAAGCCTAATATAAAGAAAATATTGTTTTAAGGGAACTTTCTTTGGTACGTCTAAATGGTTTGTTTTACATGTTGATGTTTTAATAAACCCTCTCGATGCACCATATTTAGGAGCAGATCTCGTTAAATTTATTTTTTTATATGATTTTTTTAATATTAGCCCAGTTAAATAATAATAATAATAAGTCCAGTTACATGACCATATTTACATAGTCCTAATAAATGCAGCATTTTAGTGAGAAGCACTGAATGGAAGATGATAAAAGCCAACATGCCTTGGCTGATGGATGCTATTGGCTGTGTGCTGCTTGATCTTTTTGTATCCTTTTCTATTTATTTATTTATTTATGTCACATATTTTACTTAATAATTTTCTGTTCGTTCCTAAGTTCTCTCTGAAGTTGTTTTGCCTTAACATATAATTTTTGACATAGATAATCCTTCAGTATATGTTTTACAGATACAAGAAGCACAAGAAAAGCCAGCACCAAGAAGAAGCAAATAAACCTTCGTGTTAATTTTTATTGACAAATTAATCAATTTATATTTTATATTTGTAGACTTGTTATGTCATTGTGTTTCGCGCGAGTTAGTCGCTAACAATTAAAAATGGATCAGACGATTGTGTAAGGGACAAATCTCTTGAAACAAAATTCCAAAAAATGATGTTTTTATTGGCGATAACTTTACAATTGGAAAATAAAAACAGAATGCCTCCAAGGGGCGCAAGCACACGAGTTACTGAAAAAGAAGTGTTTAAATCTAAACTAAAAAATTTAAAGTTACATATTCTCTGTTCGAGAGTGTTTGATTCCGGGGGTCCTTTGCTCTATGTCTTTTCTTCCTATTATACTCCCCGGATGATCTCTTCGTGATCAACCGCTTAAAAACTGCTTGATCGCTCTATAACTGCCCACTTTCCTTGTAGTGGCCAACCTGTCATGAAACTGCCATCTCTAACTGCTGCCATTACTTTTGTCGTTCAACCGTCTTCAATTGAATTCCTTGAATCGTGGGACGTGGCAGGACTACCCAATAACTGCTTTATTAACTGCAGTTTGGGTAACCATATCATCTTATGTTTGCTAAGATATTGGGCGACTCGCATGTTTGGACGAGAGCAGGGTCACAGCTCTGGGCGACTGCATGGAAATTCATTCGCTCAAATCTTGGGCGACTTGCAACCTTGGGCGATGGTATTACCGCGTTTATGGGCTTCCATATTTGGGCCTTTATCCTGCATTGCCTGATTGGTTCGTTTTTTGGGCTATTTGATTTTTGGGGATCTTCTAGTTGGGCTTCATTCCTTGGGCTATTCGACTTGGGCTGAACTTTTTGTGTGTCAACAATTACCCCCCAATGTGGCAGAATTAATACCAATTATTAATTTTTGCCATATTCACTTTGTGTTTCCCAGCAATATTCGAAATTTTCAAGAATTTCAATCATTGTTTTCTTCCATAACCTGAAAAGGTACGACGTTTGCAAACTCTTATAACCCCCAAATACGCTATTTCATTGCACCACTAAATCAAGCCTCATTTTTTCGTGCCTCTCTCTCGCAATATTACTGTTCATCTCCTTGCTTCTCTGCTACGTAACTCTGAAAAACTCTATTTCGTCCCTAATAGCTGCTTCACAATCCCAGTCTGGTGACTCCTTCAGTTTCGAAGACTTTCAGAAACTCCTTACTCGGCCATATATAACTCCGAACTTCCTTGCACCGGCCAATGTCGAACTCAATGAGTGCTATCTAGGTCCTTTATTCAACAATGCCGAGGCCATCGAACAAGCGGCGGTCAGTCAGCTGTTCCCTTGTACTCAGGGCTCTCCGTTTCTAAATTCTTTGCCGCTGGGGCCACTTCGCGAAAGAGGTATTCGCACTTGGCCTAAATCTGATATCGTTTTTCTTAGATGGCATGCTCGCCTTATGGACCATGGTCCTACTAAAACAATTTTTGATAATGTTAGGATTTCTGATTTGTTAGAAATCTCTCTTCAACCCCCTATTTTTGACCCAGTACTTTTTCCAATCGCTTTAAGTTTTTGGTCTTCTGAGTATAATACTTTTGTTTTTCCTCTTGGTCCCATGTCCATTACCTTAAGGGATGTTGGGGCCCTAGTAAATCTGCCACCTTTGGGCGATACCATTTTCCCTGATATTTTGATTTCTGGTGTCGCCCCAAAATTTGATAGAGGCCTCACCGAATCTTATTCAAGCCTGCAAACCTTTCATAACCACTCGAGCGCTGAGCCTTCCCATACTGAGCGAGTGGCCTTTCTTCTGAGTTGGCTTTATAAATATATTTTGTGTGTGCCAAGCATAAAGCCTTCCATGAGCTATTTACCCATAGTGCACGAATTGGCGCGTGGTAGGCCTCTAAATTTGTGTTCTTTCTTTTTAGCTACCCTTTATAGAGGCATAGTTTCTCTTCAATCCCAATTGAAGAATGGTGCATCTCCCACTGGCAGTGGGCCTCTTTGGTTCACTCAAATATGGTTGAGAGTCTATTTTCCATCGCTTGGTGCTCCATCTTTTTCTAGCCCTTCTGCTAGCTGCTATGGGCTAGCCATTGAGCCCCTGACTCCTGCAAATATGTTCAGAAGGGACATTTTTTTATTCTTTTATACTTTAGATTCAATCCCTTCCTTCTTTCCTTTTCCTCCATTTTTGACTCCAGATTATGTGCAACCTCCATCCACTCTGGATAGTGCGAACACTTCCTTGTTTGTTTGGATTCAGTTTTTGACCAGGAGGGAGTTGTTTCATGATATTTTGACTGGGACCAATGCCAAGGCTGGGGTAGAAATATATGCTCTCCAATTGTTTGCTCGCCAACTTGGTTTTGGCCAAACTTGGCCCGTTTCCCCTTGCTATTCAAGAAATTTGATAGACCGCTTCCACACCATTAATAAAGCAGAGGCAGAGGTTATAAATGCTCGCAATCTTCTTTTGACGAGCAGCTTTTCATTAGCCCCCTTCAATCCTAGCCGTGCCATCCATCCCCTTTTTGAACGACTCTGGCCGTTAGTGAAGCGCAGATTGTTTGCAACTGACGCCAATCGTGCTTTCCATTCACTAGACCAACCAAACATTTCTTCCACCTCTCCTGTTTTGGTCACTCCTGTGTCTATTAGGAGTCCCTCTTCCTCTGCTCGTGCTAAACAATCTGCCCGTCCATCGACTTCTCTTCCTGCCAAGTCCACTACAGCTAAAAGTGCCCCAAGCCGCAAACGGCTAGCCTCGGCGTCTCCCATTTTGGAGGATGATGCTGATGATGATGATGATGATATCCCTCTCATCGTCAGGAGGAAGGTAATTAAATTTGTTTACTCATAAGCATACATTTCCATACTTGAGACTTTTCCACGTGCTGATATTTATTTGGACCTCTCAGAAAAGTTCGACTTCTCTCTTGAAGGCTTTGGTGTTGGCAGTTCCTGCTCCATCATCCTCTGCTGGGGCTGCTTCGTCCAAACCAGCTGATGAAGGGACTACGCTTAAAGAGAAATCTTTAGTCCCAGAATCTTCATCACAACCAATGGACAAGCTACCTTCTTCCCAAGGTGTTGACCCCCCAAACGTCGAAGCAGAAGGTAATTTTTTTTTTATGCTTTAACTTTGCTTGTGCTATTGGTGTTGATTTATTGCCTTTTGAGTTCTGCAGATGTTCCCATAAGTCTGCCCGTTGCGGCAAAGTCTTCTCGCTTAGACGAGGGGAAGTCCTCACGAATGATGGAGCCACAGGTGGCAGATTTGGCTGGGGATATACCATCTTCCAAGATTGCTGATGAGGTAATCTTTGCTTCACCTTTACCTTCACTTTGTTTAGTGTAGTGGAAACCTTCAATATTGGCGATTTTCTTTGCAGGACGCTGATAAAATTGTGCGTTCCATTCAAGACTTGTTCACTTCGTGGGGGCAAGTCAAAACATCTCGCCCTGCTTCAGCCAGTTGTCCTTCTGCTTCTTCAGAGGACGATATAAAGTTCCTCAAGCAGTCGATATTTTAGTATGTGTCCTTCATGGATATGGACATCGGTAAGGCTAGTGCTGCCAGGCATAAGGATAAGTTTGAGCATTTGAATGCGAAATTGGAGCAAGCACTAACACTTCCGTCGCTCAATCTTTCTGCTGATTTTAAAGCGACGTTGAAAGTTATCCATTTTGAGATCCTTTCCTTGCTAGCCAAGAATGTTGAATTGAAGGTCAAAAGTACTCAATAACTTCGCGCCGTATCTGAAAAAGAGTCTTTGCTTCTGGAGATCAACAAAGCTGAGGACGAGTTGAAAGAAATCTCTTCCGAAGTCATGATAGAAGACTCTTTGATGACTAGTTTGGCTGCTCAGATGAAGGAGCTTCAAGCCAAGATGGACGACTGCAAGGCGAGAATGGCTGCTAAAAAGCGTAATGCCTCCTAAGGAATTGAGCGAACTAAGTCTTTGGTCGAGCAGTACAAGAAGTTGGAAGTTGATGATGATGTTGTGGCTGAATTGAACATCACTTCTTCTCGACAGAACGAGGACTGGGGAAAACTTAGGGAAAGAATTCGTTTGGTATGGGTGAATTGTAATTAAGACATATAATGCCTTAACTTTTTCTTTTTATAATTTCTTATTGGCTTTCCCTTTGTAACATTTTATTGACATAACAACAGCCATTATTGTTAACGAATAACTATTTTAGCCTCTTGTGTATTTATTGACGTTCGTTTTTTTTAATCGTCAATCGCTTAGGCATTTAACTGCTTTATGCTAAAATTTCTGCACATTTTTTTTTTATATTTCTGCCCGACTTTGGGCCACTTAATCTCATTTACTAGACACAAATATGGCTGCTCATATTCTATCTTTTCACCTTCACCCCCTTATAAATGCACATCATATTCTGTCTTTTCACCTTCACCTCCCTATAAATGCACATATACTTCATACTTTCCATCTTCATTTCTATTTTCTTCTTCAAAAAATCAATTTGCTGTCATTGCTTAGCATTTTTGACAATCAATCCAAAACTTTCGTTTTCCATGGAAATGGATCATTTGATCCGCCCATTTTTCCATCTTTCTTGATGTCACCTTTGGTATGAGAGATATAGGAAATATTCTTTGGCCAGTAGCAAAGTTTTTCCCATCGTCTCCGTTCCTACAAGGAGTTCAATGATGGAAGACAATTTTTGGGGTGCTTGCAGGCCACCTTACTTGCTGAGAGTGCTTCTCAGCCTCCTTGCCCGTCGTTGCAGCGATGCATTTAGGAAGGCAATGTGAGGACGCTTCATCTTCCTTTCTGCTTGTTGAGAGTGCTCTTGGCCTCTCTGCTTGCCTTTGCAGTAGTGCGATCAGGATGACGATCAAGGCCAGTATCCCCTCTTACTCGGTGATCGACCAGGAGATTAGTCTGCTCTTAATCATAGTTTATAGAGCATTTAGCATCTTGTATTTCGCAGCTTTGTAATGACCATTTGATAATAAAGGAATTTATTTGAACGTATTTCGCTCTGACCCTTTTTACTCTACGATCGTTCAATGCGATTTGGTTACGCTTTTATTTGTTCACTTTCCCATAAGGAAGGA